GTGTTCTTCCACAACCAACCTCAGATCCATTCAATGACACTGATACTGATTCATATATACCAGTACTTGTTATAGTACCATCCTCGTTAATAGTAACATTAAGAATAAGATTATGATGAGTTTCAGGTCCTGACACTGGCTCTAAATGGTCAGGATTCTGACCAGGTATTTTCCAGAATACATTTCCAGGAACAACAGGTGTTATAGTACAAGTGAATACTAGTCTATCACCAGGACACACTGGAGAATAAGATGGAGAGGTTTGAACTAGCTCTGACTCTGTTGCAGATGATAGTAAAATAAGATGAACCAAAACAAGACACCAGTAGATACCAGCAGCAATAGCCATTAGAGAAATAAGGAATGAGAACTGATACTGTTAGAATAAATTCTTTTTTCATAGCCACACCTGCAATAGTCATCATAATATATACAGTTCTGTCAATGTACAAATACAATCAAACTGTAATGATGAACATACAAATTGATCTACTTAAATTTTATTGATGTCCAGCTAATAGTAGAGACCCATGATGGTAATAATGTTAATAATTGCTGTAACTCATCACTGGTTGATGAATGTGGATTATACTCTCTTCCCTCTCCCGTTCTTCCCTTCTCCTCCTACTATTGTTATTGTTCTATTGTATTGTCCATTAGTTATTGTTGTTGATAGTCAGTTCAGTACACATTCATTACATTATGATAAACAATGGATTGTTTATTGAGACTAATTGACAATAACAATGAAACTAGAAGAAAAGAGTTATTCACAACAAAAATACTTAAATAAATTACTAAAATGATTTTATACGAATAACAGTGACATTTTTTGAACTGATAGTTTAAACCAGTTACACACTACTATCAATAATCATAACTATATCTAACTAATAATCATAATACACTATATACATATCAGATATCACAGTATAATAATAATATAGTCACTTCATAGCAGCTAGTCCTTTGTATGGTGTATGTCTCATTTCCTCTAATTGTAATATTAACCATCAGTGAATAGACAGTGACATCAGTATCAGTATGAAGAGAAGATGATAATGATGTTAATTATACTAAAAGGTATTACCAGTAGCCATACCTTAATATTAACTGGTTTTATTGATGAGTACAATACTGATGGTTGATGAGTGGGTGGAGCATGATGACGTCTACTAGTGTCTATTGCCAGATCAGCATAATGACTCTACAGTATGAAATAACAATATACAGCCACATCATTAAAGTATATACAGTAATAAAATATGTGTCATTAAAGCATACAGTAATGAACTAGTATAACAATCATTAAAGTATACAGTAGTTGATCTCCCTGAACCACTACACCATTTTTAAATGGACTTGAAGTTCTATTTTACATCATATTGTCCACCTGATGATGAACCACTCCTCTTATATAGGATACCCTTTCCCCTGGAACCAGTGGGTGACCTCACAAAAGAGATACTATACTGTACTTGACTATATTAATGCATGAAAGGTTTAATAATAACAGGATATCACTGTATGGCTGTCTATTGATATGATGAGGTCTGCCCCATCAACCCACTGTACATACACTCTATACCTATCATTAGTATACAGTACTGTCTATAGAAATAACTTCACATTGTATTGTATATACTAAAAGAATATAACTCCTCCTAATGACCTTTACTCATTCAATCATTATCAGACAGTATATATTTACCTGAATTTGAGTTACATCAGTATTCTTGTTAACAGTTGAATATATATATGGACTATCATTGATTACACCATCACTTGGTCCCAATTCAGAATACACTCCAACAACTAATAAAATACAATAATATTAATAACATTATAATATTACTGAATGGTACTTGGTTATATGTACATGATGTGGTTGCATTAAGTCACTGATGATCAAAAGCATATGTACATGTAAATATATTTCAAGTAAAAATGATTTATTTATTGTATTAAAGTGATGTGTGTACTAATGTCATTGTGTAGTGTATGCAACACTTTCCTTAAGTAACCTGTAATACAATAGAAATAAACTGTTGATGTACTTGATATACTAAATTTAAACCCAGCTAGTACATAACCCACTATTATTAGTCTATGTATATGTATATAATGTATATTTCATTGCAGTTACTAGTAGGTGATGGTAGATATGAAGGTCCTCCTTGTAGTGTCCTTACAGTAGAAGCAGCTGCTGGAGTATATTCAGTGGTAGGAGTAGCATAAGTAGGATCAGTAGGTTGTAACTAATGAATGAAACACAACAGCATATAATGACTGGGGCCAGTCTACAGTAGTTATATAATGAATGATGGGGTCAGTCTGCCACAGTAGTTAGTTATATACTGGAGGATCAGAACCGGAAGGAATTTTATCCTTCAGTCATTAATAAACAAGGATCATTATTATTAATTTACTTCAATATTATTGTTTTTGTTATAGGATCGTCCAGTCACACCTTTAGTCTGTAACAATTAAAAATAATAAAATATAATTATTAATTATCCTCATACTTCTCTATAACTGTTATCATTAGCAGTGTAGCTATATAATAAAAAATATATATAATAATAATTAACTATTAATAGTATAGTTTTAAAACCTTCTCTTTTTCTGTATTTCTATATATTATAAATAAATTATTAATTTATGTTAACATTAATACTTACTGTGTCTTTTAGCATACACCACTATTATTAATATAATAATAATTATTATTATTACTATAATTAATACAGCAACAGTAGTTCCTGATACAATAGAAGCAGTTGAACCACTGCCAGAGCTAGCAGTAGCTGTAGCATTAGCAGCAGTATTAGTACTAGTAACTGTACCACCACTAGAAAGTGTACTACTACTAGCAACTGTATTACTAGTGAGTCTATTACTGATGCCAGTGATCTGTAGTACAGTAGTTGATGGTGTAGTTGATGTTGATCTGGTATGTATTGTTGATGCTGTTAATGTACCAATACTAGAAGCAATAGTCTTGATATTAGTAACCAATGTTGATCTACTAAGGTGAGGTGATGTTGAACTGGGATGATCAGGTGATGTGGTTATTGATGTTGATATAATATGATGAGGTGATGTTGATGAACTAGCATAAGGTGATGTGGGTGTACTGGAATTAGAAGGTGGTGTACCAACTACATGAAACCCAATAATACACAAGTTTCATTGTAACTGTAAGCATACCATATATTATAACATAAGGTGCATATCCAATAATGTTTTGAGTTATAATAATAACAGTGTAGTATTGATTAGTAAGAGATAATCCAGTAATAGTAGCATTAGTAGTATTTGCATAATATATTTCATACGTATCATTATTAAATGGATCTATACCTACTACAACGTAATGTCCTACTGGAGGATAATATAGTGTAGGATCCTATTGTAATATAAGAATAGCAATAATAATAATAATAATAATGATAATAATAATAATAATAATAATAATAATAATAATAATAATGTCTAAACATACCTCAGTGTTATTCCACCATATTGTAATACTATCAGTTGATATCTGATCCCAACTAATATTAACAACTTGAGCTGGTACTATAAGAAATACAATGAGTGTGTGTGTGTATAGTACTTACCATTCCATATATACTGTATTAATGATGAAGGAGGTCCTTCTCTTCCAATAGTATCAATAGGAATAATAATAAATGAATAATTAGTGCCAATAATGAGATCATTAATTGTTATATTAGTGTTGTTAGTAGTCCTGGATTCATTATGAGTATTGTTACTATAAATAGTAACAGTATAGTGGTCTATACATTGATCTGATGGTGTATTCCAAGTAATTAATAATGTATCATTAGTGATAGGAGTAACAGTTACATTACTAACTGCTTTTTGATCTGGTACATCTATTTATTGTTATGTATACCAAATTATAATAAAATCAATAATAAATTACCTTTTACATTAATAGTTAATACAACATAAGACACACCAGCATCACCTGAACACTCAATTGTAGTTCCGTCCAGTTGTGTTGATACTGATTCATTGGTAGCAGTGCTTACAAATAATCCATTATTTGCTGCTGTAGCTACATAAAAGCTACCAACTCTCATTAGAGGAGTGTTACTGGTTACATGAGTCTCAGCACTGTTTCCTAGTAGCCTCCAGATAATTCCATCAATATTAGATGTACAAGTAAGCACTAGTCTACCACCAGGACACACAGGAGCAGAGTTTGGAGGAACAGTCTGTACCAATGATCCTATATACATGCAGTTTATACTATCTGTGTACTACATTGGTGATGGACTTACCAGATACAGCAAGACTCATACACCCAGTCAACACAAGACACCAGTAGATACCAGCAGCAGTAGCCATTAGTGTATGTCAGTTATAAAATAAGAGCTTTTGTTTGTATAGTCTAACAGTAGGTCAGGTGCTGCCAAACCCACACCTTCAGCAGTGGTGAGTGGGTGAATGTTTTTTATCAAAAATATATTAATAATAATTGCCATTACACTGCATGTACATATGCAGCATAAGGCAATATGTATCAGAAAATCTAATAAAAATTAGGGGTGATTCCCGAGCCATTTTTTGGAAAAAACCACAGGCTTTAGCCTTAGGCATTTTCAAAATTTTGGTGTTTTTTTTAAATGGCTGTAACTTGAAAAATTGAAATCGGAATCAGCCCAAACTTGCTACACAGCATAAGGACATCAATAAATTTATGATTATTTATGATAAAACTTAACACCAATTATAAATGGCATAGTGCCAAGTCATAATCCTCACACTTCAAGCCCACAGTGTGATTGGTGTAAAATCCTGACACTACAGGTTCCTTACTCCAGGATGAGTGTATTGCTTCATCTATTGCTCCTTGTTCCTTCTGTTGGTTAGTAGTACTATTAACGTCATTGTATGATGAATTAATATTGTCTACTCCTCTTCACAGCTAGTGTTAGTTTATCACTGACAAATGGAGAGGTTTGTGAAGGAGTTGTTGCTACTTGGACCTGTGTTGTTAATAATTCTTACAATGGGATTTCAGTAGCATGGCATAACAATGGAGAAACTGCATATCCACTTAACACTTTAGCTCCACTGGGGCCAGATAGTCCATTCAATGCCACACTTACCTCTATTAATAGCAGTGTCATTGTATCAATAGCAACTGCTAGACTAACCAATATTGTAAGAGGATCATTGCTGGAGTGTTCTGATGATAGATTCATGTCACCTAGCACAAATGTTACTTTGAATTTTGAAGGTATATTAGTATTACAGTTTCATTAGCATTACAGTTGTAAAATGGCTGCAAACAAGTGTATATGCATGTATAAATCATACATGAGTCAAAATACTGAATGCACACAATTTGTAAATAAAATCATTTCAGGTCCAGTAGCTGCTAATCTTAGCTCACCTGTGTTTCTTGGAGTCGAGCCACATGTGCAGGATCATACAAACTTTCTATTTATCTCTCAGTTTATGAAGTTGATGTAAAGAATGTCACTGGAACAACATATCATGACTTTATTCCAGTGACTTCTGGTGAGTACAGCTTTGGGTTAACCAGTGTCAATTATCCTGGAATTGATATTGGCTCTATGAATAGTACATCCATTCCTTGGAAAGGTAGGTATGGAATAATGATTGTTAATTGTTAAAGTTTGTTTTGTTTAGAGCCTAAAATATCTGTTGATACAAATGTTAACAACAATATTGCCAACTTTACAATTAGGGTAAAATAAAGTGATGTGTAGTCAATATTAATTTTTCTATTAAAGCAAGAGTACATAATATTATGTACTCTTGATTAGAGTGATGTGTGTACTAATGTCATTGTGTAGTGTATGCAACACTTTTCTTAAGTAACCTGTAATACAATAGAAATAAACTGTTGGTGTACATGTTCTAGTCTATCACTAGGATACTCTGGACTATAAAATGGAGAAGTTTGAACCAATGTTGCTGCAGATAGTAAGATAAGTTAATTAAGATCAACACCAATAGATACCAGCAGTAGCCATTATAGTATAAAAGAAAAGAGAACTGAGCAGTTTATGCAAGAATAAACAATAAAATGTTTACTCAGGACAATAATATTATTGACTTCCAATAACTGTGTTGCTGTTGTTCTTTTTTGCTATTAGCTACACGTATAAACATTAAATGTAATGTGTGTGTATACACAAAAGAGCTGATGTAAGTACACAGCTTTAAAAGATTATATCAAAATAGACTATGTTACATCATTATTTGTCCATATGCATCATTATTATGTACATTAATTATATCTTTATTAATCACTGGTCTATCATAAGCAGTATTAGCCTGTAGTTCCATTGGTGTATCATATATTGGTACTCCAGTAGTAGTAGTTGGTTTAACAATGATTTCATCATATGTAGGAGTAGCTACTGCATCAGCCCTACTGTAGGTGTGACGATACATAAAATACATAAATATAAACTTGCTTTTTAGATATTTTATATGTTTTTCCTGTATTATAGCAAAATAGCAATAATTGAAAATGATTATAGTAATCGTACTTACTTCTTTGATTCTTGATTGCCAGTATCACTATTACCAATATAATAATAATTATTATTATTATGACAAATACTGCTCCAATAGCTCCTGATATAATAAGAACAGGATTAGAACCAGCAGCAGTAGTTGATACAGTTGTTGTTGATGATTCTGGTGTACTGACACTAGTAGTAGTACTAGTTGATGTACTAGCAGCTGGAATAAAAGAAGATGATTGTTCATGAATTGTTGAAGATGCTATAACTATATTATTAATCAATTGTTAAGCTATAATAATCATCACTTACTTGAAGTAGAAGGTATATATATTAATGATGTACTGGTACTTATATCAGTAGTTAATGTAACTAATGATATACAATATATTAATGAATAATGTATTAACTGTACAGACCTGATGATGATACACTAGTAATTGAACTAGTACTGGTCATTGTAGGAGTAATACTGGTTACACTGACTATTAGTAATAACATCAATAATGAATACTGTATAATAGCTGTACCATTAACAGTAGCTGATGGTCCATATCCAATAATATTAACAGGAATGATACTAACAGTGTAGTTTGTATCAGTAAGAGGTAGTCCAGTGATAGTAATATTAGTATCATTAGTATTATTAGTGTATATAATACTGTTTGATGTATTGTATACTTTAATAATGTAATACTTAGTAGGAGGAACTGGTAGAGAAGAATCCTATTTTAATAAGTAATGGCAATAAGTAATAATATAACATACTTGATTGTTATTCCACCATATTGTAATACTATCAGTTGATATCTGATCCCAACTAATATTAACAACTTGAGCTGGTACTATAAGAAATACAATGAGTGAGTGTGTGTGTATAGTACTTACTATTCCATATATACTGTATTAATGATGAAGGAGGTCCTTCTCTTCCAATAGTATCAATAGGAATAATAATAAATGAATAATTATTATGAACAGCAAGAGAACCAACAGTATATGTTGTAATATCATTCACAGACTGCTGTTTAAAGTCTGTCCCATTGCTGTATACAATAATATTATACTGGTATAAGCTGCAGTTGTAATCCTGTGTGTTTAATGACCAACTGATTGTCAGTGCACTGCTGTTAATAGGAGTAATAGTTACATTAGCAACTGACACTGATACTGGTGGACCTATTCATGTAGAGTATTACAGCTATAATAAATAGTTGTGTTAATTACTAACCTGTCATTTTAATAGTAAACATAACAAAACCATTTACATGATTTGAACAACTAATCATAGTTCCATTCATTGATACAACTACTGATTGTATAGTACCAGTACTTGTCACTGTATTACCCATAGTATCAGTAACATTGAGTGTAAGGACACCATCCTGAGTAACAGCTGATCTTATATTATTATTATTTAGCAATGTTGAATGACCAGTGCTCTCATTTCTCCAGTAGGTATTACCAGTTCCACCAGCAACACAAGTAAGTACTAGTCTATCACCAGGACACACTGGAGTATGAGGTGGAGAGGTTTGAGTCAATGTTACTGCTGTCAGAATCGATTGTATAATCATTAAGTCACTGCCAACCTACATACTTACCTGATACAACAAGACTGATACATCCAGTCAATACAAGACACCAGTAGATACCAGTAGCAGCCATTAGTAAGAGGAATGAGACTGTGATATTGTTATTTCTTGTTAAAAGAACAACGTTATTGTTCTGTTTCCTAGTTTATTGTTCTATTTCCTAGTTTACATAAGCACACTTGTTCTGCAACTGCTTTAAAATCATGTGCTGTACATTATTCATATTTTATTGCTATATGTTACATCATAATTTGTCCATATGCATCATTATTATGTACATTAATTATATCTTTATTAATCACATCATAAGCAGTATTAGCCTGTAGTTCCATTGGTGTATCATATATTGGTACTCCAGTAGTAGTAGTTTGTTTAACAATGATCTCATCATATGTAGGAGTAACTGCTGCATCAGTAGATCTATAGATGTTTGAAATTATTAATATACAAATAAAATAACTTGCTTTTTAGGAGCTTTATTGTCACCTGTAGTACAAGAAATAAGTAAAAATATACAAATTATTAAAGTTTTTACTTTCTTGTTTCTTGATTGCCAGTGATATTATTGATGCTATAATAATTACGATTATAATTATAGCAAATACTGTTCCAATAGCTCCTGATATAATAGGAACAGGATTAGATCCACTGGCAGTATTAGTACTGGGTCTCATAGTTGATGCTGGTGTCACTATTGATGAATCTGAATATGCATTAGTACTAACAGTTAGTGTCATTTGACCAGTAGTACCAGTATTAGTAGTGGCAGCATGAACTGACATTGCTCCTGTTTTAGTTTTAGTAGATGGTAATTCAGTACTGGAAGATATTGTAACTATTTGATATACTATGGTAATAAATAACAAATTTTATTGCATGCACTTACTTGAAGTAGATGGTATATATGTTAATGATGTACTGGTACTTATATCAGCAGTTAATGTAACTAATGATATACAATATATTAATGAATAATGTATTAACTGTACAGACCTGCTGATGGACCATTAGTAACTGAGTTAGTACTGGTCACTGTAGAAGTAAAACTGGTTACACTGACTATTAATAGTAACATCAATAATGAATACTGTATAATAACTATACCATTAACAGTAGCTGATGGTCCATATCCAATTATATTAACAGGAATGATAGTAACAGTGTAGCTTGTATCAGTAAGAGGTAGTCCAGTGATAGTAATATTAGTATTAGTTGTATCGATTGTTTTCTGTTCATTGCTATAGGATGGACCTTCTACATTAACATTGTGATGAAGCACTGGAGGATAGTGCACATGTAGTATCTTATCCTATGTATCATTTTATAACTAATATAACAATAATTAACATACCTCAGTGTTGTTCCACCATATTGTAATAGTATCAGTTGATATCTGATCCCAACTAATATTAACAACTTGAGCTGGTACTATAAGAAATACAATGAGTGAGTGTGTGTGTATAGTACTTACTATTCCATATATACTGTATTAATGATGAAGGAGGTCCTTCTTTTCCAATAGTATCAATGGGAATAATAATAAATGAATAATTAGTACCAATAATGAGATCATTAACAGTAAATGATGTAATATCATTCACAGACTCCTGTTTAAAGACTGTCCCATTACTGTATACTGTGATATTGTACTGGTTTATGCTGCAGTTGTAATCCTGTGTGTTCAATGACCAACTGATTGTCAGTGCAGTATTGTTAATAGGAGTAATAGTTACATTAACAACTGACACTGATACTGGTGGACCTATTCATGTAGAGTATTAGCTATAATAAATGATAAAATTATCTAACCTGTCAATTTGATAGTAAATCTAACAAAACCATTTGAATAATAATTTGAACAACTAATCATACTTCCATTCAATGATGAATCTACCAATTGTATAGTACCAGTACTAGTCACTGTATTATTCACAATATCACCAGTAACATTGAGTGCAATAAGACCACCACTAGTGAAACCTGATTTTATCATATTATTTAGCCATGATGTAACATTAGTGCTACTATGTCCCCAAAAGGTATTACCAGTTCCACTAGCTACACAAGTCAGTACTAGTTTATCACCAGGACACACTGGAGTATAAGGTGGAAAAGTTTGAGTCAATACTGCTCCTCCTAATAGATCTATTATAATAAAGATAATGTTAGGTGGGTATGAACTTACCAGATGCAATACTCATACATCCAGTCAATACAAGACACCAGTAGATAATAGTAGCAGTAGCCATTAGTATATTGATAAGAGGAATGAGAACTGTGTATTAATGTTGCATTTAGCTATATGAACAACGTTATTGTTCTTTTTTCCTGTTTACATAATAACACTTGTTTTGATGAACTGCTTGTCTTCATTTATGCCTTAATTTCAATATTAGTTTATTAAATCTACACCATTACATCATTATTTGTCCATATGCATCATTATTATGTACACTAATTATATCTTTATTAATAACATCATAAGCAGTATTAGCCTGTAGTTCCATTGGTGTATCATATATTGGTACTCCAGTAGTAGTAGTTTGTTTAACAATGATCTCATCATATGTAGGAGTAGCTACTGCAATACTGTAATATAATAATAACAATAATACATTAAAAGTAACTTGCTTTTTAGATACTTTATAATTATCTGTAGAATAAAAAATCATAAATAAAATCATTAAAATATTTATTACTATTTTGTTTCTTGATTGCTAAAGATATTGTTATTAGTGTCATCATTATTATTATAATCAATAATATTATTCCTCCAATAGCTCCTGATATAACAGGAACAACATTAGAACTACTAGCAGTACTGATGGTACTAGTAGTTGATTGTGTGCTAGTAAATGTAGTTGTAGGAGTGAGTTCAGTGGTGGTTGTTGATGGATCAACTGACTGTGTGTATGATGAATCAGTACTGGAGGTTTTTGTAACTGTATCTATTTATTTATATATTTATTTATTCATATATTTATTATTAACTACACTTACTTGAAGTAGATGATATGTATAATGGTATACTGGTACTTATACTAGTAGTTAATGTAACTAATGATAACATAGTATAATTATAGGTATTAATGAATACTGTATTAACTGTACAGACCTGATGGTATGCTAGTACTTGTCATTGCATTAGATATATTGACTACAACAATACAATAATAATATTTATTGATGTATAATATAATTCAAATGATAATAATGTTTTGTACAATTAATTTATCATACCATTAACAGTAGCTGATGGTCCATATCCAATAACATTAACAGGAATGATAGTAACAGTGTAGTTTGTATCAGTAAGAGGTAGTCCAGTGATAGTAATATTAGTATCATTAGTATTATTAGTGTATATAATACTGTTTGATGTATTGTATACACTAATAATGTAATACTGAATAGGAGGAACTGGTATAGTAGAAATAGAATAGTCCTAAATAATTTATTATCAGTAATAATAATAATTAATAATATTTAAAGTTTTAAACATACTTGAGTGTTATTCCACCATATTGTAATAGTATCATTTGATATCTGATCCCAACTAATATTAACAACTTGAGCTGGTACTATAAGAAATACAATGAGTGTGTGTGTGTGTATAGTACTTACCATTCCATATATACTGTATTAATGATGAAGGAGGTCCTTCTCTTCCAATAGTATCAATAGGAATAATAATAAATGAATAATTAGTACCAATAATAAGAGAACCAACAATATATGATGTAGTATCATTCACAGACTCCTGTTTAAAGACAGTCCCATTACTGTATACAGTGATATTATACTGGTTTATGCTGCAGTTGTAATCTTGTGTGTTCAATGACCAACTGATTGTCAGTGCACTGCTGTTAATAGGAGTAATAGTTACATTAGCAACTGACACTGATACTGGTGGACCTATTCATGTAGAGTATTATTAGCTATAATAAAATAAAGATAATTACTAACCTGTCATTTTGATAGTAAATGTAACAAAACCATTTGAAAAAGTAGCTGAACAACTAATCATACTTCCATTCAATGATGAATCTACCAATTGTATAGTACCAGTACTAGTCACTGTATTATTCACAATATCACCAGTAACATTGAGTGCAATAAGACCACCACTAGTGAAACCTGATTTTATCATATTATTTAGCCATGATGTAACATTAGTGCTACTATGTCCCCAAAAGGTATTACCAGTTCCACTAGCTACACAAGTCAGTACTAGTTTATCACCAGGACACACTGGAGTATAAGATGGAGAGGTTTGAGTCAATACTGCTCCTTTTAATAGATCTATTGTATAAAGATAATGTTAGGTGGGTATGAACTTACCAGATGCAAGACTCATACATCCAGTCAATACAAGACACCAGTAGATACCAGTAGCAGTAGCCATTAGTGTATCGATAAGAGAAATGAGAACTGTGTATTAATGTTGCATTTAGCTATATGAACAACGTTATTGTTCTTTTTTCCTGTTTACATAATAACACTTGTTTTGATGAACTGCTTGTCTTCATTTATGCCTTAATTTCAATATTAGTTTATTAAATCTACACCATTACATCATTATTTGTCCATATGCATCATTATTATGTACATTAATTATATCTTTATTAATAACATCATAAGCAGTATTAGCCTGTAGTTCCATTGGTGTATCATATATTGGTACTCCAGTAGTAGTAGTTGGTTTAACAATGATCTCATCATATGTAGGAGTAGCTACTGCAATACTGTAATATAATAATAACAATAATACATTAAAAGTAACTTGCTTTTTAGATACTTTATAATTATCTGTAGAATAAAAAATCATAAATAAAATCATTAAAATATTTATTACTATTTTGTTTCTTGATTGCTAAAGATATTGTTATTAGTGTCATCATTATTATTATAATCAATAATATTATTCCTCCAATAGCTCCTGATATAACAGGAACAGCATTAGAACTACTAGCAGTACTGATGGTACTAGTAGTTGATTGTGTGCTGGTAAATGTAGTTGTAGGAGTGAGTTCAGTGGTGGTTGTTGATGAATCAACTGACAGTGTATATGATGAATCAGTACTGGAGGTTTTTGTAACTATATCTATTTATTTATATATTTATTTATTCATATATTTATTATTAACTACACTTACTTGAAGTAGATGATGTGTATAATGGTATACTGGTACTTATACTAGTAGTTAATGTAACTAATGATAACATAGTATAATTATAGGTACTAATGAATACTGTATTAACTGTACAGACCTGATGGTATGCTAGTACTTGTCATTGCATTAGATATATTGACTACAACAATACAATAATAATATTTATTGATGTATAATATAATTCAATCAATGATAATAATGTATTGTACAATTAAACAATAGCATACCATTAGCAGTAGCTGATGGTCCATATCCAATAATATTAACAGAAATGATAGTAACAGTGTAGTTTATATCAGTAAGAGGTAGTCCAGTGATAGTAATATTAGTATTAGTGGTATTATTAGTGTATATAATACTGTTTGATGTATTGTATACACTAATAATGTAATACTCAATAGGAGGGACTGGTATATAGTCCTAAGTATATCATCAATTATGTCTGTTCAATTTAATGTCTAAACATACTTCATTCCACCATATTGTAATAGTATCAGTTGATATCTGATCCCAACTAATATTAACAACTTGAGCTGGTACTATAAGAAATACAATGAGTGTGTGTGTGTATAGTACTTACCATTCCATATATACTGTATTAATGATGAAGGAGGTCCTTCTCTTCCAATAGTATCAATAGGAATAATAATAAATGAATAATTAGCACCAATAATAAGATCATTAATTGTCATATCAGTTGTGTCAGTTAATTTTGATTCATTATTAGTATTGTTACTATTAATAGTAACAGTATAGTGGTCTATACATGGATCTGATGTATTCCAGTTAATAATTAATGTATCATTAGTGATAGGAATAATACTTATATTATTAACTGGTGTTGCTGGTGGACCTGTGATTACATAAAATAGACTATAACTAACTGTATTATAATGAATTAATAAATCTAACCTGTTATATTAATGGTATATTTATTTTCTTCAAAAGTTGAATCCGAACAACCGACTCTTACTCCATTAGCAGACAATGGAATGGACTCATTAGTAGCAGTAATCACTGTTGTAGTACTGTTGCTTAGTGTATATATTGAGAAACTACCCATTGATTGTACAGTTCCATTGATCAGTCCAATAAATGAATTTTTACTAAAATTATCTTTCTGCCAGTATACTTCTCCTGTACCATGAAATACACAAGTCAATACTAGTTCATCATTAGGACAGACTGGAGAATAAGGTGGAGAGGCTTGAGTGATTACTGAAGCAGTTGCTGTAGCAGTACAATAAATAAGATCATAATAGATTGATAGACTTACCTGATACAATCAAATATCCAGTGAATACAAGACACCAGATAACAGTAGTAGCCATTAGTAAGAAGTACAGTTTATGCTACTGCAAGAATGTAAACTGTTTATGTTGTTACTGCCACACCTTAGCATGATTAACATTCATTGATATAATGTATACGACATATGATAAAAAATGAACGCATACAAAGGAATTATATGCATAATTTATACTACATTCATTATACAATATGCAGTATACTTTTTTCACTATCTAAGTTATTCCTTCATAATGAGCAGTTCCTTGTGACATGTAGTCTCTTGTGTTGTTATTGTTCTAAATGTCCATTAGTTATTCTATTGCAACTCTCCATTAGTTATATATTGTATGTTCAATACTTCTATTGTTGTTGTTATTGTTGTTGATAGTCAGTTCAATACACATTCATTACATTATAATAAACAATGGATTGTTTATTGAGACTAATTGACAATAACAATGAAACTAGAAGAAAAGAGTTATTCACAATAAAAATACTGAAATAAATTACTAAAATTAAGGAAATGTTTTTATACAAATAAAAGTGACATTTTCTGATGCATATATATGTTTTTATATTGCATAGAAAGTTTGAGCTGATTTTAATCAAAATTGAATTTTTTTACAAATTTTAAATTTAAGTTGCTTAAGAGTCAGCTAGGCCAAAATCCCTGTACAGGCTCCAAGAACAAATTTTACCAAAATTGAAAAGGAGAGAATTCTCCATTTTAATGATTTTGTCTGATGCATTTTGTATATGTCACAATAGACACTCATTCACTTGTCTCTTCCCTCTATTTCAATTTATTGGTACAAAAGTATTAATACAAATTAATACTGAAGTCCAGCTAATAGTAGAGACCCATGATGGTAGTAATGTTAATAACTGCTACAACTCATCACTGGTTGAGGATTAAGAAAAACTGTTATTATGGATACTTCTAGCTATTCTTAAAATGGCCATAAATTAAAAAATTGAAGTTGGAATCAATTGAAACTTGCTACACAGCATAAGGACATCAATATGTATCAGAAAATGTAATAAAAATTTGGGGTGATTTTGGAGCCATTTTTTGGGAAAAAACCATGGGCTATAGCCTTGGGTATTTTTCAGATTTTTGGAGTTTTCTTAAAATGGCCGTAACTTGAAAAATCAAAATTGGAATCAGCTCAAACTTTCTACACAGCATAAGAACATTAATATGTATCAGAAAATGTAATAAAAATTTGGGGTGATTTTGGAGCCATTTTTTTGGAAAAAACTCAAGGCCTTGGGTAATTTTCAAATTTTCCTATTTTCTTTAAAATGGCTGTAACTTGAAAAATTGAAGTCAGAATCAGCTCAAGCTCATAAAGACATCAATAAATTTATAATTATTTATGATCAAACTTAACACCAATTATCAATGGCATAGTGCCAAGTCATAATCCTCACACTTCAAAGCCCAGAGTGTGATTGCATGGTGTCAAATCCTGACACTATACAGGTTCCTTACTCCAGGATGAGTGTATTCCTTCATCTGTTGCTCCTTGTTCCTTCTGTTGGTTAGTACTATTAGCCTCATTATGATGAATTAATATTGTCTATTCCACTTCTCAGCTAGTGTTAGTTTATCACTGACAAGTGGAGAGGTTTGTGAAGGAGCTGTTGCTACTTGGACTTGTGTTGTTAATAATTCTTATGATGGGGTTTCAGTAGCATGGCGTAACAATGGAGAAACTGCATATCCACTTAATACTTTAGCTCCACTTGGATCTGGCAGTCCATTCAATGCCACACTTACCTCTATTAATAGTAGTCTCATTGTATCATCAGCAACTGCTAGACTAACCAATACTGTAAGAGGATCATTGCTGGAGTGTTCTGATGATAGATTCATGTCTCCTAGCACAAATGTTACTTTGAATTTTGAAGGTATATCAGTATTACAGTTTTGTTAGCATTACAGTTGTGAAATGGCTGCAAACAAGTGTATATGCATGTATAAATCATACATGAGTCAGAATACTGAATGCACATGATTTGTAAATAAAATCATTTCAGATCCAGTAGCTGCTAATCTTAGCTCACCTGTGTTTTATGGTGATGGTATCAGGTCTTACAAACTTTCTATTTATCTCTCAGTTTATGAAGTTGATGTAAAGAATGTAACTGGAACAACATATTATGACTTTATTCCAGTAACTTCTGGTGACTACAGCTTTGGGTTAACCAGTGTCAATTATTCAGGAATTGATATTGGCTCTATGAACAGTACATCCATTCCTTGGAAAGGTAGGTATGCAATAATAATATGATTGGTAATTGTTAAAGTTTTTTTCTTTAGAGCCTAAAATATCTGTTGATACAAATGTTAACAACAGTATTGCCAACTTTACAATTAGGGTAAAATAAAAGTGATGTGTAGTCGATATTTATTTATTGTTAAAGTGATGTGTGTACTAATGTCATTGTGTAGTGTATGCAACACTTTTCTTAAGTAACCTGTAATACAATAGAAATAAACTGTTGATGTACATGACCTAGTCTATCACTAGGACACACCAGACTATAAAATGGAGAGGTTTGAACCAATGTTGATGCAGATAGTACAATAAGTTAATTAAGATCAACACCAGTAGATACCAGTGCAGTAGCCATTATAGTATAAAAGGAATGAGAACTGAGCAGTTTATGCTAGAATAAACAATAAAATGTTTACTCAGGACAATAATATTATTGACTTCCAATAACTGTGTTGCTGTTGTTCTTTTTTGCTATTAGCTACACATATAGACATTAAATGCAATGTGTGTGTAACACAAATGTAAGTACACAGCTTTAAATAGTTCATAACAAAATAGACTGTATCACATCATTATTTGTCCATATGCATCATTATTATGTACATTAATTATATCTTTATTAATAACATCATAAGCAGTATTAGCCTGTAGTTCCATTGGTGTATCATATATTGGTACTCCAGTAGTAGTAGTTGGTTTAACAATGATCTCATCATATGTAGGAGTAGCTATAGCATCAGGACTGATCCTAATGTGTGTTTGATCATAATATTAATGATAATTGTTATTTAATAACTTGCTTTTTAGATGCTCTGTTAGTATCTGCATGTAGTAGAAAAAATGATAAAAATCAAACCAATAAAGCACTTACTTTTTTGTTTCTTGATCACCAGTATTATCATTAGTGCTGTAATAATAATTATTATTATAACAAATACTGTTCCAATAGCTCCTGATATAATAGGAACAGCATTAGAAGCACTAGCAGTACTGGTACTGGGTGGTATCATAGTTGATAATGTCAGTGTTGATCTAACAGTTGTAGGAGCAGTAGTGAATCCAGTGGTAGATGATGAGCTTGTTACTGTATTAGTATATGATGATGAGTCAGTGCTGGAAGCTGATACTGTAACTATTTATCATGATTAATATTAAACCTACTTGAAGTAGATGGTATATACAATACTGGTGTACTGGTACTTATATCAGTAGTTAATGTAACTAATAATATTAATATAATGTATTAATGTATTAACTGTACAGACCTGATGATGATACACTAGTAATTGAACTAGTACTGGTCATTGTAGCAGATATATTGACTATAAATAGAGCTGAGCAATAATGCTAGATTGTTGTAAAGTAATTAATCATACCATTAACAGTAGCTGATGGTCCATATCCAATAATATTAACAGGAATGATAGTAACAGTGTAGTTTGTATCAGTAAGAGGTAGTCCAGTGATAGTAATATTAGTATCATTAGTATTATTAGTGTATATAATACTGTTTGATGTATTGTATACACTAATAATGTAATACTGAATAGGAGGAACTGGTACAGTAGAATAATCCTAAATAATTTATTATCAATAATAATACTATCATTTGATATCTGATCCCAACTAATATTAACAACTTGAGCTGGTACTATAAGAAATACAATGAGTGTGTGTGTGTGTATAGTACTTACCATTCCATATATACTGTATTAATGATGAAGGAGGTCCTTCTCTTCCAATAGTATCAATAGGAATAATAATAAATGAATAATTAGTACCAATAATAAAATCATTAATTGTTATATTAGGATTGTTTCCAGTAGTGCTGTAGTTGTATTGAGAAGATGGTTCATTGCTGTCATTAACTACAACTTTATAATGGTCTATACATATGTTCTGTTGATTCTGATGCAACCAATCAATAAATATTGTATTATTATCAATTGGATTTATACTAATGTTATTAACAGCTATTGGTGGATCCAGATCTATTATTATTATTATCATTATTATTATATATAACTATTATAGTATCTAACCTCTTATATTAATAGTAAAATTAGCAAATAGTTGAATATCAGTTGATGAACCAGAACACCCAACCACAGATCCATTCAGTGATTCATTTATTGACTGATATGTACCAGTAGATGTTACTGTGGTACCTTCCTTCTTAGTAATATTAAGAATAAGGCCAGCAATAACTGTACCAAACTTTGGTATTAGTTCTGATTCAGATTGTTGAAGACCAGCCTGAGGTACTTTCCAGAATGTAAGTCCAGTATTATAAGTTGTACAAGTCAGTACTAGTTCATTACCAGGACACAGTGGAGTATAAGATGGAGAGGTTTGATTCAATATTGCTGCTGATGATAATACAATAAGATCAACCAACACAAGACACCAGTAGATACCAGCAGTAGCAGCCATTAGTATAAGAGGAATAA